ACACAAGACCAGGTCCTTGTAATATTTCTTTCAGAGTTCCACTGATACCTAAGAGAAGCAAGGACTTTGCTCCCAAAGGAGAACCACTTGCACATGTGGAAAGAAGACGGATCAAACCCTGCATACAACGGTGGTAGGAGTCAGTCAGATGGTGCCTTCTCTCATAAACTAAAGAAACCGGAGTTTGTGATCAATATTACCGTGTAGGTAGAAGTGCTAAGGGAAGCCTGGCCCCCTCCAGCATTAGTCGAGGAAATAAGAGCAGCAGTTTGTGCAACAAGTCCATGGTTGCAAAGTTCATCGAGCTTCTCAGGTGACGAGGCAAATGCCTCAGCAATCCGCGTCAAGCAAATAGATGCAGATTCCAAAACCTAGGAATCACACAAAAGAATATACAGATATTAGTTTATCAGGTCACACATGAAAAAGGAGAACATAGAGATGAACCCAAGTAAAATGGCTGTCAGACTACAATTCACAACAATATATGTCTAACCTTGGCATCAGGATACTGTAAGAGATTTGTCAACAAAGGTACAGCTTCCATAACGAAATCAGCAGCATCTGAAGGTAGTTTCTTGCACATATTTGCAGCAGTTGCCAAGGCCACTCTCTAACAGACAATTAAGTGAAATTAAATTCTCCAAAATGCTACTTGAAATACTTCCTTATGGCAAAGTGAGCAATTCAAAGGAGGAGTTTAACATTATAATATCCAGTTTTACACACCTGGACACCAGTGGGAAAGAAGTCCAGGTAAGAAAGCACTGCCATAAGAGCACCAGCCCTCAAGCAGGCAGTAGGATGTTCCTGAGATATCTTCTTCAGTGCTTGCAGAGACTGTTTCAACCAAATAAAATATCAGAACTTCACAATAACAAGAAAGTACAAAACAATATTACTACTCTTAAATAATCTCCAACAGCAAATCCCAACAGAAAAGTACAAAACAATATTACTACTCTTAAATAATCTCCAACAGCAATCGCAACAGCATATTATTTGTTCCCCAGAGTTACTAATAAAGTTCACCTGTTCAGCCAAGTCCATGTACTCTATAGTCAGCAGCCTAGCAACAAAGCAGGAGACAGAACCATAATGCACCACCGCAGCGCAGGACGATGGCAACACGTCAACCAGGTGCGTGAGTGCCCTTGCAGCCAAAAGCATGATATCAGGATTACTCTCATGATTGAGCAATCCCACCAAGACCGGAACAAAAGAATCCACCGAGAAGGTACTCAGAGAGTCCTCTGTCCCTATCGAGAGCATCTCACAAAGCTGCGTGAGAGCCTCCACTTGCTTCCCTTCCTCCCCATCAGCCCTCAAACCGGACAAAATCTTTTTCAGCCGCCCGCTTTGGTGAGAGGACGAAGCCGAGCCTATGGCCGCGCT